GCCTTTTCCTTTTGGTGGAAACATTCCCTAATTTCTTGCCTTTCTTTGTGTTTCAGAGTAAAACAAAAAGCATCAGCATATTTCACTTTACATTTCTTCACATGTCAAATTAAAGTAAAGTTTTCTTTAGTTTATACAGCAAGAGAAAGTAAGGTAAGGGACAGTAATTGGACAGAACTAACAGACATTCCTATTTAAGGGGCAGAATAAACAGCATGTGCCCATTGGTTCTCAATTTATTCTAGCAGTGATTAAAATAGATCATCAGAAAATTAGCAAATACCATATGTCTGAAAGGTGAGAGCTTGAGGTTTTTCTACAAATGTTTAATTTTTCAGCAAAAACCCCTAAGAACAATGTACTGACTCTAGTAATGTAACTTTTATGGTTGATTAGGAAATTAGAGCAAGGCAGCAGCGTGATGGGCATGGGGATTTACAGTGGATGCTGCAGAGCTCATCGCAGCAAGGACAGCTTTTAGTAGGAAAAGGAAGGAAAAAATCCAAGTGCTGTTTCCACCCCTGCATGAGGAGAGGTCCAGAAGGCTAGCTAATAGTCTACCCATGGTCACCTGTGCACACCACTGATACCAGCTTGGCACTGGTCCTACAGAGACAGTAGCAAGGCCAAAACTGGACACAAATGCTGCAGGAGCTTCCCTGACTGTCTCTTCATCACTATATCGGGCCTGGGGAAAACAGAGACAGCATCAGGCTTCATGTGGGATTTCTCAGCAGGGCTCCTCTCCCATCTCAGATCTGAGAGACTGCAGTGATTTGTATCTTTGAATATGTTTTCGGTTCATTTTCCTTTAATGATGAAAGGGGTGTCAACACAAAGGAAGACGTATCTGTCACTCCACACCACTCTGGTTTCTAGCAGCAGGCATGCTGCTGCTTGGAGCTGGCTAGAAAAAATACTGTGGTCGATTTTGTGGTTGGTTTTCTGAGGAAGGAAAAAAATGCCAACACTGATAACTGATTCTCAGAGCATGCAAAGCCATAAAGAAAAAAATGTGCCTGAAGATTATCCTCAAAAACCTGAAACCTTTCAAATGTTACCATGATGCCTCAGAGTGCCTCTTCCTGCATGGCCATACCCTGTGTCCCCAGGACCTTGGTGGCTTGGACCTGGAGATAAGCATCATCTCCCCTCCTTAGGGGTCCTTGTGGGAGTCTCTGGCTGCAGTATCCCATGGGAAATGTCTGTTGGGGGAACACAGCTCATAAAGCATGTTCTAGGCAAGAGGTACCCAGCTTCTATCTCCCAAGAGTCAGGGAGTGGCTGAGGCTGAAGGTGCCTCTAGAGCACATCTAGTCCAGCCCGTGCTCAGAGCAGGGTCAGCTGCTGTGGGTTGCTCAGAGCTACATCCAGTTGAGTTCTGAATATCTCTAAGGATGGAGACCCTGCATCCTTTGAGCAACCTGTGCTAGTGTTTGTTCACCCTCACAGTAGAGAAATCAGTGATGATGGCGACACTTCCAAACACAAAAGCTAATTATCAGCCTCTTCAGGTTTTCTCTCTCTTTTTTTTTTTTTTTTTTTAAGGAAAAGAAAGAAAGGCAACTGTTTTCATAAAACGAAACCATTTTTTTTAAAGGTCACCTAGTTTTTCCTCTACAAACTCTCCACCTGGACACTTTGGGAATACTCCCACTACTGTCTTCATACCAGAGCACCACCTACCTGTGGATTGCATTGCACTGTTGACATAAGGGTTGCTGATACTGTTGACAATTATTAGCATTATTTGTTTAGCACCTGGCAAAGGTAGTCACGCTCTTTGCACTAGGCACTGCCCAAACAAACTGAAAGGAAGACAACCTGTTCCCAAAGAAAGTGTTATTTACCTCTTAAACAGTAGGCTGCAAAGAAATGGATGATGGCAAGGAAGGACACTTTAGGGCACAAGGATTAACTTTTGTGCTATTTTTTTTTGTGCTTTTTAGCATCATTGTTTCCCTTGTCATGGCCATACATGGGAGTAAGAACAAGATCCTGGCCACACTATCCCAGGGCACTAGCCATTCAGATGGACGGAGATGTCCTGTAGGTGTGACCTTTTCTGGAGACATATGAAATCCCTCTGGTGCCTGTTGTGCGCTATGTTAATTTTTTAAAAGCTGCACTCCAAGTGCACTTAACAATACATATTTTAGAAGGACACACTTTTTTAAAAGCCTAAGAAATAGTAATTTACATTTTTCAGTGGTGATATTTTTCAGTCAGGAAATTATCTCAAGAGGAAACAAAAGCAAATGCACAGTTATTTCTTCTCTTGGAAAAATGCCTTTCTATTGAAAAGACATATTTTCAAGTCTGCAAACAAGAGCAGTAGGGGATTTCTTTTCCCAATACTTCTTCCCAAGTAGAGAAAGAAATAAAATAAAAAAAAAAAATCAGAGGAAGAAAATGTGTTTAAGGAGGCAGATGCCAGAGTTTTGAAGGGTGTCCAAGACTTTTGGGGCAGTCTAGCACTTGCCCTTCCAAATGACTCCACTGAGAAGAATGCCTGGGAAAATCAAGAAAGGAGATGAGGTGGCAGAGTCAAGCACATAGCACATGAAAATCATGTCTTTGGAGATTCTAAGGAAAAGGTAAGAAATTCATCTAGGACGACATGCCTGGGTACCCCATACTCAAAGCAAAGTGTGGAGGTCTGGAGGCTTCTTCCAGCTGCACATTTCTGGTATTTCTTGTGACACTGTTTATTCATATGCTCAAACTGAGCATTTTGCCATGCCAAGTCTGAGAGTCTACTTTGGTCAGAACCATCCTGCGTGTCTCTGGGCATGGTCTTTGTCCATGGTTTTCCACCTACCTCAGCTCACCTGACTGTGAAGCTGTGCCAGGGAGTGAGTTCACCTGAAAGAGAACTACTTGTATAATGTTCCTATTTCCTTACTTTTTCTGTGAAACTGCTTTTCCTTTAACTTCAAGGAGTCAGCAAAATATGTTAATTTACGATTGCCAGGTGATATAACCACATATGTTACAACTACAGGTTTCCTGAAACTAGGAAAATATATTAATGTTCATAACCTGAAGTCAACTAGAAGAAAGCATCAACAACTTTCAAGACATTTCTTTGTTTTTTTTCTTTTCTTTTTCTTCCTGTCCTCCATACCTGATGTTAGGTTGCTAGTTACTCCAGGGATATGAGAGATATTTATATATATTATTTACCCAGTTTTGGTGGAGGGTTTTTTTCATATTTGCATGCTTTAGTTGTGAGCAGTTTGGGGTTCTGGTACAGTGAGAAGGTGGTGGTATGTCTGCAGCCTGTTACACAAAGCTTTCCTGTACGCTGGCCTTTTCCCACCTAGTCAGACATTATCCCATTTTGGAATGACAAAATACTTCTTTTTGCAAGATGAAGCAAAGGGAGCTTGAACAGGTTTCTCAGACCTCACAAAGGCAAAACTCCCATTAATGGCAAGGAAGAAACTGATTTGTTCAATCAAAAACAGTGGTAAGAACACCGGTGCCGACTTTTGCTTCTAGCCAGGTGGGCTTTTTGGAGGGCTGTGGTGGAGATATTGCCTCCCATCTCCCTAGAATGCTGAGCGGTGCCAGCCTGCCCTTGCAGCTGGGCGTACCTTGACTTGAAATGCTCAGCATTGCCCTTTACTCAACACCTGCAGTGGTGGCACCTGGTTCAGTAAAGCGGCCAGCAGCTGCTGGTGCTTGCTGCAGGCAGAAGGCAACATCTCAATGTTCTGAGGATATGGAGCTGTGGAGGTTTCTTGCATGGTTTGGAAGCAGGAGCTGGTATCCATCAAGATGTGGGCATGTAAATCCAGCCTCAACATCAAAGACATGTCCCACAGGGAACAACAGTGAACTTCTTATAGACTCAGTTGCAACACAGATGCTGTTTCTGGCTTTGGCTGCAGATGCAGTCAACAGTGGAGAAATCAGGTCAGGATGAAGGGCGACATCTCATTCCTTCCCAAGGAGGAGAGGCACGGCTAAGAATGCAGCTGTTGCTTTGACACAGGCAAAGGTCCCTCTCTAATGCTCTGTGTTTGCAGACCATATGTTACATCCCAGCTTTCTCTCTCCTGTTTACTTCTATCCATTTTCCCATGTGCCATCAGCTCTGACGCTTTTTTCTTTTCTACTCTCTCTTGACCAGCAGACTGTAATTCCTAGGTCATCTTCAGAGGAGATGCAAAGCAGTAAAATCCCAAGCCTTGGGGTGATGCTGGAAGCTGATCCTCCAGCAAAGCCCAGAGAAGCCTTGCTTTTCAAGGGATCACTCTAAGTGCTCTCTGAAACACAAAACCATTTAGCAGGTTATTTGACACAGTTATTTCCTTGGCCCACGTAGTAAAGCACATGTAAATTTGTATTGTAGTGGAAGCACCGTGTTTTATGATGAGTTTACATACTGTCTTTGTTACTGCGCTTCTGGATGATAGCAGTCAGCTGCAGATCCGGGCTCTGCACGTTGTGGCCTAATGAAGAAAAACTCAGAAAGAGCATCAGACATCTTTGATGTAAACAGGCCAGCAGAGACTCTTTCGAAAGCAGAAAGCACCAAATAGCAGGAAACAATTTCAGTCCATGTAGCTTCTCTCCATCAACACATAGCCCAAAAGCACTTTGATTTTCTCCTATCCACATTCTTGTTTCTCTGCAAGGTGATTCCTGCCACCTCCTCTGAGCTTTTGTACTCTCTGTGGTGTTTTTGCCAGCTAACATGAATACTTGGAGATTCTCATAGTTCAGCTAGCTAGCTTAAAACTGTGATTTTTATAGTCCACTGGAATACATGGTGTAAAACAATAGCCACAGAAATGCAAGCACCCTCAAAATACTTCTACCTACATGGAAAGAAAAATGGGTCTACTGGAGATTGTAATAACGATATAAAATCATTTTGATCAATGATATCTTGCAACAGTCTCCAGCCCATTCCAGCAATTTTATTTTATTTGCATTTATTTCCAGATTTTATTTGCATGCTGCAGTTAGTGTTTTCTTTGGAACTGCAATGTTCTTCTCAGAAATATGTTGACCCTCCAGCCCATATTTACTAAGTAGATGCCAACTAGGCCTAGGTTCGGTGATGTTTACAAGGCTGGTGTTACAGGGATTTAAGCAGAAAACAACAAAAAACAATACACAAGCCAGAGCAGTTCTCACTGGCAGTTCAAAAATGCTTGCATGGGGTCATGGGTGCTTGGCTCAGATTCAGAGATTGTTGCTGACTCAGACTCTCATCTTTCAGTAAAACTATACTGTAGAAGAACAAAAATTAATTTTTTTTTTTCTTTCTTTCCAAGCAGCTCCAAGACCCAGAGAAAGAGTTTTCAGGATGCCAGAGCCAGCGAAGTCCACCTCTGCCCCCAAAAAGGGCTCCAAGAAAGCTGTGACGAAGACCCAAAAGAAGGGCGATAAGAAGCGGCACAAGAGCAGGAAAGAGAGCTACTCCATCTACGTCTACAAGGTGCTGAAGCAGGTCCACCCCGACACTGGCATCTCCTCCAAGGCCATGGGCATCATGAACTCCTTTGTCAATGACATCTTTGAGCGCATCGCTGGAGAAGCCTCCCGTCTGGCCCATTACAACAAGCGCTCCACCATCACCTCCCGGGAGATTCAGACGGCCGTGCGCCTGCTGCTCCCAGGAGAGCTGGCCAAGCACGCTGTCTCAGAGGGCACCAAGGCTGTCACCAAGTACACGAGCTCCAAGTAGCTGGACATCACCTCTCCAATGGGATCATCAAGCATTGGACCCTCCACGCAAGCACAGGTGGGCAGCCATGGTCTGGATAAACATCTCAGCTATTATCAACAGCAATTTACAGCCTTGGGATGGGCATGAGAAGTTGCCTGGTGGAAGAGGAGAGGATGATCTGGATGTCTGCCGTCTGACCTTCATAGTCTGTTTGGGATGTGCAGCGGGTTCAGCAAGGTTGGTGGAGGAGGCCCCTGCTTTCACATCTCATCCAAAGGACTGACCAACTGTAGTATATCCAAACTCTCCTCTGCTTGGCAAACATGCATGTTTGGCGCTGGTGGGGGAGACTGGCAGCAGCAACACAAAGACACTGTCTTTGAAGTCTTCCTGTTTGGCTGCTTTCTCACACTGATCCTAGATGGGCACCTAGAAGTCAGCACTGTTACCCTCTCCCTCATAGCCTGGATCTGTCCTGGGGTACAGCAGCACAGCCCACCCAGTGCTGGCAGAAGTGACATTGACAGCTACTGGGCACAGGCTGTAGAACAAAAACCATATTGATTCAACAGCTATCTGTGCTTGACAGCCGGTGTTAAAGAGCAAGCCTGGCAGGCAGGCAGATTACTCTGGATGAATGAGCCATCAAGCAGACTGAGGGTGCTGGCGCTGGTGCTGCCACTGCCCACTGACTCCCCCCTCATGCCAAGGCAGAAGGACGGACAGGGGGGATGTTGGGGCTGGGTCGCTACCTTCCCCAGCTGCTGCTTTGCTTGCTTTAGGACTTGCTTTGTTGCGCAAGATGTTGCTAATTCTGCTGCTTTTCAAAGACTTTCCCGGCCTCGATGATGCCCGGGCTTTTCCCTTCCACCATAAGTGTGGGCAAGATGGGGTGGTGCCCATGGGGGTTCCCTCACCTGCAAGTGTTAGAGTGGTGCAGGACAAACAGCACAGACGTGTTGGGAGGGGACTGAGGATTTGGGAAGGCATCTGGAGTGGGAGCAGAGGTGGTTAATGCAGTCTGGGAAACAGGCAGGATCCCCACAGAGGGTAGCTCACCTGGCCCTGCCTTCCCTGCTTTATTCGCTGGCTAGAAAGCAAAAGCAAAACCCAGAGCTGGGTGGGTATAGAGACACTCACCTGCATCCCAGTGATGTTTTAAAGATTAAATAAATTTAAACTACTTCAGATAATCCCCACATCTTCTCAAAGACCACAGTAAGGTGAGCAATAACAAAATCCTAATAAAAGCCATAGAAATTAGTAGAGTCTTGGTTACAGGTTTATCTTTCCAAACTGCTGCACAGCAGAAGAGCATGTGTAGAACTGGTGTGAAATTGAAGCTTCCTACTCAAAACACAAAATTAGCCAACATTTAAAAAAAAATATCAAAATCTCTGGTAGGCAGTAGTGCTCAGATAAAAAATATTCATGGTAAAATAACAACTGCTTTCTGCAGCTTATTCTTTAAATAAAAATGGCAGCAAAGACACAGGATCCAGAACTAAGTGCAGATTCTCCCCAAACTCCAAAACCTTTTAATTGAAAGGTAAATTCATAGCCTGAAATAACAACCTTGCAGTACATCTCTCACTTTCCCCTATGTTTATATCTATCCTGTTTCTTTACACTTTGAGAATGATGGGGACCCTTGACAAATTTATGTTGGTTTTGGAGCTGTAGGACTTGTCTTGGTTTTGTAAGTAAGTGTTGCAGTCATTTTCCACTTGGTCTGAGGGGAGGACTGCATAGACCTGCTCAACCAAGAGCACCTCAGAAACCTGACAGCAGCTTGGGGTCTCATGTGGTCTCTGAGCAAGTTGCTTATGGGCTGCTCCTGTCCCCTGCTTTGAGTTCGAACACCTCACACCCAAAAAGGAGCTTTCCTCCCACATTTTGCTCAGTGCTAAGACACAGCCAAGTTTCATACCCTAATGCCAGCAGGAATCCCTAGTGGTATCTTTCAGAAGGAGCACAGATTAGCACTTCCTTTTGTTTTCCAATCGAATAGTCAAAACCCGATACCAAAGATGAAAATATACCTGCAGTGGGCCTAGAGCCACCATCCTTGGTCTCTCTCCCACTAGAAATCGGGCAGTGAATGATGCAGACGGGGAATATAAGGAATCAAGGACTGGCTGGCAGCACTGGAACTTTTTCTTCCTGTCCCTATGAGCTGCAGATCAGAAGTCTTCTTGAAAGGAGGAGTCTTCCTGAAAGTAGGAATTCAGAGTGGAATAGATCTGTTCCAGTCCAAGTGGTGTGTGTGAGCCAGGACACACATCTCCCAGGAGTACCTGTCACAGCCTCTGAAATCCTCACTTTTTCGAGCAGAGCCAAGTCCTGCTCCGGTCTCATCAAGCTGCAAGAAGTCACGAAAATAAAATGAGGCATTGTCCCTCCACGATCTCCTGGACAGCTCAGGCAGCTGGGGACAAGGCTGGGTGCTCAGACAAGAGCTGCTGGCCCCGTACACGTGCTCACAGAGTACTGGTCTCATTTATTATCTGCCACTGTTGCCACTCTCAATTTTTGGAGATTGTTTCAGAAAGAGGAGAAATGGCAATTTATAAAGATACTTGAAGGCTTAAAGAGGATTTTTATATTGTCTAAAGCTGAGTGACTGAGACTGGTCATGTCCATCAGTTTATAGTTTAGGCTGTCATTTCACACATCATTTGCTCTTCACTCTCCCTTTGTATTGTTTCTTTACTTGCCCGGGATAATGTGAAGCACATGATTGAGGAACTGACCCAGGTTAAAATGAACCTTTTCTTGCAAGCTTTGTTTTAACCCAGTTCTGGTGGCTGATCTGTCACTGTTGTAGAGACACTTGTGCCAGCGAAGGAAAGGGCTGATCCAGTAAGGGCAAGGCTCGCATAAGCTAGAACTGATGCAGAAAGCTGTTGGGAAATTAATAGCCTTAGGGTCAAGGAAAAATGAAGAAAGGAAATCTGTCTCCTGCAGTGGTCCAGTCAGCAGCATAGATGTGGGTTATAAATACAGTGCTATGGGTGTTACCCTTGCAGTGTCTTGTAAGCAGTTCTAACAGTCCTGATGCTGGAAATCAGACACATCCCATTTTGCCAGATCCCAGGGGACACAAGTGTTACACAAGGGAAAGGGAACAGATTGGAAGGCAAACTTTGCTCCCATGCAGCCACCCAGGTGTAGTGGTACAGCAGGTAAACAGCTTGCAAGTCAGCCTGTCCTTCCCACAGCTGCCTGCCACAGTACAGGAGTACACTCAGAGCAGTTTAATGGGAATTATTTTGACTGTGATGAGCTTGGACTGAGCCTTAGTAGTAGAGGCAATAAAAAATGGTCTAAAAGTTCAAGCATTGATTGTCCACTCAGTAATCTGAGGTGTGATGTATTCCACAGTTGCCTGGTAAGGCGGATTTGCCGCAGAAGAGGAGTTCTGCACTTCAGGATCTGTGCTTTTGAAAAATATGTATTTCCAGCTCTGGAATTGATAAAATGTTTTAAAACTGAAGATAATACACTGGGCCCCACTGTCCTTACCTGATTCCTACTGCAATCCCAGAACAATCTCTGGGTCATACCCCTGTTTTGTCAATTAAAAAAAAAAACCAAAAAAACTGCAGTTTGAAAGTTGGGAAAGGAAGCTGAAAAAGAGTAATACAGCCTTGATGTTAACCTCAAAGTAACCGCATGGACATTACTGCACCGCATTAGTTGTTTTGAAGTACAATTTAAGAGAGAAAATTAGCTGCTATAGATCTACTCCTGATTTTCCACCCTGCTTCCCTGGAAGGGCTTAAAGTCCGTCCGCCCTTCACAACAGAGCTCAACCTACCGAAGAACTGAGTGGCCACATGCACAGAGTTTTGCTCCTGCTCAGGACAGGTCTTTTAGTTAAGCTCAGGGAAAAGAAGTAAAGAGAAGTGTGGAGTCTGAGTGCCTGATCTGGGACGCTGCTGCATGTCCTCGGAAGGCATTCCTGAGCTGAGACCCCTGAAGAGCCCTGTCCAGAGGAGCCGCATGGCTGTATGCCCTTCTGCCCTGGTGACAGGCAGCCATGAGGAGGTAGCCCCAAGTCCTGGCCACCCCTGAAGTCAAGCTTGGCATGGCCTCTGCACAGCCCTGAGCATTTGTCCCATCGTAGCATTTCCTGGCGGTTTACATCCAGACCAAATTGTTTACAAGGAAAGAAAGAATGTGAACTAAATCTTAAAAACCACTTGCTGCCAGAATTTCAAGAGTTCCCTGGGACCAGCACTTGGGGAGCACTCTCTCATGCTTACTCTCCATGCATGGTATCTTGTGGGTTTATGTACACAGTTTTTCTGACAGTAAGTGTTACATCAGGTATGATCTATGTTATATTACTGCTGGTTTATGACCTATCTTATTGTTAATTACCTGTTTTCTGTTAAATGTATAAATAAAACGTCAATGCCAACCCATTGAAAGTCAGAAGAGACACAGCTGTCAGGATGTCTTTGCTTATTCTGTATCACCCAAGCCCTACATTTCTCTTTCTCAATCATATTTCCTCCAGACCCAGAGTGGCAGCAGCCACCCTACCAGCAGAGATGAAGCCCATCTGGTCCTGTCAGAGGGTCAGTCAAAAATCAGAGCAGCCCCACACCAAGGGGATGTCACACACTGCCGCTGTGAGCCCTCATGGGATGTCACTCACCCCAAAGATGGGTGCAATATGAGCATGTGTGTGTGTTTTCAAGCCCTTCCAGCAAGCTTGTCCCTAGCAGAGCCAAGCCCACAACCTGTCCTTGTCACACTTCTGTTCGGGGTGTTCTCTGCCTGGCCCCTATAATTTAACCCTGAGGGGCAACACTCTTGACTTGCTCAGACTGAAGCACTGTGAGATTCTGTGGTTGGAAAAGTGGTTTATGCACATTCAGAATTTCTGTTTATCTGAATTAATGATTGCTGCCACTAGAAACATCTTTCCTTGAACTATGAGAAGTTACAGGCAACAAACATGGAGTGACATGTATCTCAAAATGCCAGGACGAAAAAGGTCTTCCTTTTAAAGAATGATTGGTGACTATACTTGTGTGAAACGCTTGCTGGAAATCAGCATCATAATGCACTCACTGGAGAGGGAAATGCACATGCCGTGCTAGATACTGTGTGCTGGAAAAACAAGCTAAGAGTTCAGATATGGCATATAACAGAAATCGAAGCTAAAAAGATAGAGAGTCTTTCTAAAGACAGACTCATAAGCTTGACATAATTGGGGAAAATCAGTATGGGGAGAAAAAATTCCTTATAACTAACTGAAGTATTTCTTTCCAAAGAAATGAAGTATGCTACTTGTAATGCTGATTTCCATTTTGATACCACTTTGCAGAGTAGCACCCACAATGTACTTCCATAACAGAACTGACACCTGGGTCTCAGGAAGACCCAAACCAGGTTACAAAATGTGGTGTATAACCTATGGTCATGCTCCTCCAGGATGTTGGGAGATAACTAATTTATTTAGTTACTCCATTATTATTTAGTTACTATTGACTGGTTATTCAAAGACCATTAGTTGGACTCAGGTGCCACAATGACTAAAGCTGTTGGCAGAACGATAGAAGAACTCAGGAGCATCAAAAGAAACTATGAGAGAATGAGGTTTAAAATAAGTGAA